AATATCTTTTTAATTGACAGCTTTGTGTAAATATACATGTTAATTTTCAGTATACCCATGCTGTATGTTAGAAATATCTTCTTAATTGAAAATTTTGTGTAAATATACATGTTAATTTTCTTTCCACAAAAAAATATATTTTCCAAAGACTTACTAGGAATCTTAGAAAATACCTTGGAGTGTTTGCTTTCCAACATGTTGTCATTTTTGGGGGTGTTTCTATTGTCTTGGTGCTCCAGTGCCGCCGCCGCCCCCCCCCTTCCCCCAATGGAAGGGACACTAAGTACAGGAGTGGGCAGCGGCTGTTTCTTACCTGGTTCCGGTCCCACGACGATCCGGTCCAGGAAGCGCGGCTGCGCCTTCAGTTCGGCCACTGGATGTTCGTGCGGCTGCTCGGCTCCGCCTCCTCACCAGTGATTGGCCGCCAGAACTGTAGCTCAGGAAAGGCACACAGGCGGCCAATCACCGGCGAGGGGGTGGAGCCTAGCGGCCCCACGAAAGTCGAGTGCAGGACCAGCAGGTAAGTGGTCAGTGTAGAGGTGCTGCTGCAACCACATATGCTGGCTGCAGCAGCACCATACGAGAACAGGGTCAGCAAGTGTCAGTGGGAGGAATAGTGCCCCATCATTGGTGTCACTGATACCAATGATGGAGCACTATTCCTCCCACTGATACCAATGATGGGGCACTATTCCTCCCACTGACACCAACGATGGGGCACCTTTCCTCCCACTGACACCAACGATGGGGCACTATTCCTCCCCCCCACTGACACCAACGATGGGGCACTATTCCTCCCCCCCACTGACACCAACGATGGGGCACTATTCCTCCCCCCACTGACATCAACGATTAGGGCACTATTCCCCCCCCCACTGACACCAATGATGGGGCACTATTCCACCCCCCACTGACACCAATGATGGGACACCATTCCTCCCACTGACACCAATGTTGGGACACCATTCCTCCCACTGACACCAATGATGGGGCACTATTCCCCCTACTGATACTAATGATGGGGCACTATTCCTGCCACTGATACCAATGATGGGGCACTATTCCCCCCACTGATACTAATGATGGGGCACTATTCCTGCCACTAATGCCAATGATGGGGCACTATTCCTGCCACTGATACCAATGATGGGGCACTATTCCTGCCACTGATACCAATGATGGGGCACTATTCCTGCCACTGATACCAATGATGGGGCACTATTCCTGCCACTGATACCAATGATGGGGCACTATTCCTGCCACTGGTGCATTGGAAGAGGGGTAGTCTTATACGGCGAGTATAGCTCAAACACTAAATTTTAGCAGGAAAAGTAGGGGGGTCGTCTTATACGCCCAGTCGTCTTATACGCCGGCAAATACGGTAATTGGTTTTCAGTGCATTTACTAATTCATTTTTAATTATGCCCCTGTACAGTATTTATACCTTTAACCACTTCCCGACCGGCCGTTGTATATAAACGGCCAGACGGTGGCACTGCAGGGTCGGGTGGCCGTCTATAAACGGCCTCCCCGCACCCTGCTTGTGCGCGCTCCCTGGGAGCGCGCAGTACCGCGATCCGGTGCCCGCTGTGTCCTCCGGACACAGTGAAACACCGATCGTCGGACGGGACCTCTGTACGAGGTCCCGATCATGTGATCACTGATTGGCCAATCAGTGATCACATGCAAGGTAGTAAGCAAGATGTCACTTCTGACATCATTGCTTACTATGTGTGAAATCTGTGAATGATCACAGAGGTCACATGGTACAAGGCTATTCACAAAAGCCTTGTACCATGTGACAAGCTGTGACCAATCACAGCTCACTCTGTATTTCTCAATGAGTGCAGGAATGCACACAGAGAGAAAGAGAAATGATTGCTTTTACATCCTATATGGGTGTAAAAGCAATCAGTGTGAAAAAAAAAAAAAAAAAAATCTTTATCACCCCTCACAAGTAGTACAGTGTCACCATGGTGACACTGTACTGCTAGGGTGACAGTATGTAAAAAAAAATAATAATAATAATAATATAAAAAAATAAAATAAACATGTAAAAAAAATGTTTAAAAATTATAATTTTTGCTTATAAACTAATTTGGATTTTTTTTTTTTTTTACTAAAAAGATAACGGAATAAATTTTGGCTAAGATTTATGATGAAATATTATTTATTTGCAAAATTTTATTAAAAAAACACTTTTTTAAAAAATGTTTGGACATTTCATTTACATAGCAAAAAAAAATACAAATCCCAGTGGTGAATAAATACCACCAAAATAAAGCTTTATCTATCTAAAAAAAATGATAAAAAATTCATTTGGGTACAGTGTTGCATGACCGCGCAATTGTCATTCAAAGTGTGATAGCGCTAAAAGCTGAAAATTGCCCTGGTCAGGAAGGGGGTAAAAGTGTCCGGTCTGGAAGTGGTTAAAGTGCTCTTTTTAAAGAGTTTTGAATAGATAAAAGACTTTCTCCTTTACTTTTTTCTGACCTCAGGAACAGATTCATTGGCAGGGGCGGACTGACCATTCAGGCACTAGGGCACTGCCTGAGGGCCCAGGGTCAGTAGGGGTCCCATGAGATGCCCCTAGTACCTTTCATAGGCTTTTTTGGGTGTGGTTTTGAGTGTGGGTGAGGACACAGGGGCCCCATGATTCCCTATTGCCCGGGGGCCCTTGAGTTGTCAGTCCGCCCCTGTTCATTGGTTTTCAATGCATTCCTATGGGAAACCGCGTTTCGGTTTACACATTTTTCACAATATGAAAAGTCCAATAGAACAAATTAAATTCATAAACTGAGGTACGCCTGTATTTTACAGTGCTGGCTATGACATCAGAATGCTACCTGTGCTGTGTATAGCATGAAAATATCATAGACAGTAATCCTTATCTTGATGTAGGTGTTGTGATGTTGGCATTTAATATTACTTTTGTCTGTGAACAGCTTAAATGTTGACCAGTCAGATCTAAAAAAAAAGGTTTCTGTAGTTTACACTATGTTTACATAAATAAATATTGGATTACAAAAAAAAAGACATAACATATGGAACATTTCCACAATTCTGATGCTTAAATACATTTCCAAAGTTTTTACCTGCAAAGAAAAGAAATACTCACTTTCCTGCTGCCTGTGCTGGCAAACATGCTGGCAAACTCTGCTCTATTTCAAAGATGGTCTCCAAATCTGTGCTGAAGCCAACATTTATGGGGGCTATAATCTCATATGTCCCCAGCAGTGCTCTGTGGCTCCTCCTGCCAACCTCCACATCACTACAGGCTCTCAATGTGGCATGTACAGTAGGTCAGCACAAGGAACCACTAAATGCTTAGGGGACACTGGAGATCAACACCCCAGAAATAATTTGTTTCTGCACAGACTTTACGGAGCAGAGTTTGGCAGTATAGGCAGTGGGAAAGGTGAGTATTTACTTGCTTATTTACACTTAATATTATTCTAAATTTTATTTAAGTGATATAGTTGTTTTAAAGTGTATCTATAGCCAAAACATTTTTATTTAGAAATGATTAAAACCCTTGTCATAACCAGTATCTTCAAACAGACTTGTACTGCTGAGAAAAGGAGGTGCCATGCTTGACCAGATCTGAGAGATTACCAAATGCACTGGGCAGTGCAATCAAACTTTTTTTTCTATTGGACAACACATAAATATTTAAGCATACAGCGCAGTCAGAACCCATTTGAGACAAACAAGAGTCTCATGTGAGTGCCCTGTTTGTTAATATTCTGTACTGTGTAACAAGGGAGTCTCAACAGAACGAGAGGCCTAAAGCAAATAAAAAAGTGAGGTCTAAATTGTGCATGTTTGTTATGACAGAGGGAAAATGTGGAGCTTCCTAAAGGGTTAAGCATTAAAGTATATCTAAAACCAGTTTTTGCAGTTTGGATAGTTTAGGGAATAATTACAATGCCTGTCAAGGTTTTTTCACCACGTGTATCCCACTGAGTTAATTTCCCTTTTTTTCCTGTCTTGTAAACCCAACAGAATAGAGAGGGAAACTCATCAAAGTGAGGGAAATGTCCACTTAGACAACAAGGGGTTTATTTACTAAACCTGGTTGACTCAGAATCTTGGGCACCTGTGCATGGTAGCCAATCAGCTTCTAACCTCAGCATGTTCAGTTAAGCTTCAGCAATAAAACCTGGAAGCTGATTGGTTTTTATGCAGAATTGGAAAAGATTCTGAGTCAACCAGGTTTAGTAAATAAACCCCCAAGTGTCACCATTGAAACATTTCCCCACTTTTTCTGCTGTGGTGAGAGCTTAAAATGTTGGATTTCCTTTACTTTAAATCTCAGTGACAATGGTCAGCAAGACAAATAGAGAGTGAATTTGCCTAAAAGAAAAATAGATAACAAAACAAGTCTGACAGAGGTTCTAACTGCCATCACCATATCAAAACGTAATATTTTAAATGTAAAATGTCTTAGGCACCAGTGGACATTAGGAGGAATAATGTCCTGATGTTGGTGGTCAGTGAACATAATAAATGCCTTTGCATCAGTATAATTGCAAACAGTTCCTTACAGTGGTGTCAGTGAAAGGCAAACTTTCCCTTACTTTGGTGTCAGTGGGAGACAAAATGCCCCTTACATTGGTGTTAGTGGGAGTTAAATTGTCCCTTATATTTGCTACTTACTGAAGAGCCACTTCTTGGCCAATTAAGTTGTCTCAGACGCTATTAGATGACATAGTCATGGAAACTATACAGGCATTGCTAGGATGGAGATTACTCTGCTCAACCAGGGGTGGACTGACCATTTGGAAACTCGGGCACTGCCCAAGGGCCTGGGGTCAGTAGGGAGCCCCATGAGATGCCCCTGGTACCTTTTTCATAGGCTTTTTTGAGTTTTGGGCAAGGACACAGGGGCCCCATGATCCCCTATTGCCCGGGGCCCCATGAGTTGTCAGTCCGTCCCTGTGCTCAACAGTGCTGGCTTAGTACTATTGCTAAGCTTTTGAAAAACACTGGGTTTCTAGCCCATCATCAACTGCAGTTATACATATAGGGACCACTGGGGAGTGAAGCATTGGGCAATTGTCCAACTCTTCCCCCAGTCCTGTGTGCAACTACTATAAAAAAACAAGTGAGAGAAGGCACACCATCCTAGTGCATTATCCCAGGGTACTTTATTTTTGAAGGATAAAAACATGCTCACAAACAATGAAGAATATACAGCATGTCAAGCCACTGACTCATGGCGTAGTGGATAGTGTAACCCAGAAGGAGACAACACCAAGTGGACACCATCCGGGATCCAGAAATGACTTGTGAGTTTTGAGGGTAATTATAGCAGCAAGTACAATGACTGCTTCAATATATTGGAGTGTTGCTGAGTTACAGAAGGATTGTAAATCTGATGTACCTAATATATACAGAACATGCTTAACACAGGTGTTTCCACATTATTTAGTATACTGAGCTGTATAAACTGAATTATTATTTAAGATGAGCAATTCAACCCTATTCAAATAACATCAGGAATTTGTAATCATTTTTTAATCACTAATAAAAATGTCTTGAAAAGACCTACACCATGCCCAATGGAAACATTCAAATTATCTTTTTATTATAAAAGCAATCAACAATTATTTGACAATTTGAAATTTATTTCCCCTTCTACACAGTTATGACAAACTTCCCATGATTGTTCCTACAAAAAGAGACTGACATCTCTGAAGTTAATTTCTCACATAAAACAATTGTATCTTCCGTAGTTCCTGTTGCTAATTCAGCCTTCAAGTTTCAGTTCACATGATTAAAAGGAATACAATATATTACAATAGACTGTGGTACTGATTTCTAAAGTTTGGGGTATATGAGAAAAGGAAATGCAATATCAACCCGGTAACGTCATGTGCTGTAATTAAAGATAATAGTGGAATCAAATCAGATATGGTATATGTCAGGCACATTTGATACTGAAGGGTGTTTGGAACACCATTTTTCCAAAATTAAAAAATTATTTAACAAAATTGCTGTACTAACACATGTTTATAGATGAGAAATTAATTGTAATGCTATATCTACTGCTTGTATTACACTTAGCCTCTGGGTGACAAGTATGTTCATGCAAGCTCATGGAAGCATGAACATTTGTTTTCTCTTTTGCATGTTTAAAAAGTTTGTTTTAGGCCTGAAGGATGTAAAACCCCAAAACATTTTATATTTTCTGAAAGAAGACAGCATGGAGAATGAAATAGTGGTAGTTCCAATTTTTTATGGTAACACTAGTACCATAGTGTAATGGAAAGAAGCCTTTGAAACAAATAAATAGATGTCCAAAATGTCAAGGATTAAAATTGAATGTTTCCAGTGAAACAATAACAAACTTCGATACACTATATTTCAAATAGGTATCACTTTAAAAGCCCCTATAGGTCATATTTATAGAGTATTGGTGAATAATGGGACTCACCAATTTGCTATGTGTGGCAATTTGCTATGTGTGGCAATTTGTAACATGTGCTTTGCGATTAATGATTTTGTGCATATATTCCCCCCGACACGTGCATTCATGTTTCATATGTGCATGTATGTGAGATTTAGGGGGAAATTAAGAATTTTGGAGGTTAAACTGCTTGGATCTAACTTTGTTTTTTTTATACTTTTTAAACATTTATTTTTGCTAAATGTATTTTTCATTGCATGGGGATAAAAGTCCCCTATGTGATAATTTTTTGTGACAGGTTCTCTTTAGTTATGTGTATAAAATCTCTGTCCTCCAATGAAGCTAATGGAGTGCAGATCACTCTCCATTAGGAAAGGGAAGATTTTCCTGTCCACTACCTGGTGGCATCAGCTATGCAAGCTACAGGTTCTCTCATGGACATGCAAACAGGGGAGTATTTACCACAAGGTATTTGCCTAAGGTGGCATTTTTCAGGGGGGCAGCACCGATCACCTGGAAGAAGGGACAAAAAAAGGGACACACGTGTGGCATGGGGAGCAGGTGGGATCCAAGATCCAAGAGAGGCTGCAGGCTGCTTGACAGTGTATGCAAAGCCTGACTCTTGTTCCCAGGGAATGTCCAGAGCTGTGAAGGTGAGTGTCCTTCTCTCTAGCGCAGGGAGGGTAGTTTGCTGGGTGTATGGCAGGAGGGTGGTAGTGGAAGCCTCTCTTGGGGGGGCAGGGGTGTTTGTTAATCAATGTCAGGCTCTCTCTGTGGGGAAGGGAGGGGATTTTTTGTATTGCCTAGGGCACTGGATGCAAAGCCTGGGAAAACAAGGTGGAGGTGCACCCAACGGGGCGACGGTGGACAAAATCCAGATTGCTTCCATATGACAGCCAAACAGTTGACAACCCCCCCCCCCACACACACACACACACAATTGTAAAGGGATAAAGCACTTCCTTAATTCTGGCTTAGCAAGATAAAGAGTAATTTTGGACCTCAACCCCCCACTCCCCCTTCCAACCCAAAGCTTCCTCTGCACATATCCCAGAGGCTGCTGCAGGACCAGTCTTTCTGCTCTGCAATATTACATGCATGCACAGTGGGGGGTCAGTTGTGAGTTATCAGAAAGAAGTCTGCCTCACAAATCTAATATTTTAGTGCTTACAGTATTTGTAGCTGTTGAGCGTTATTTTTATTTTTTTTTAACCAGTGTGGTATTCTTTTTTAAGCTTGTCACTTTGTGAATCTAAGTGCACACAGGCAATAGGTATGTGGCACATGTGAGATTCCCATCTACAATACACCAGAATGAAAAAAGCAAAATACAGGAAGTTTTATTTCTTTCAATTAGCTTGCTTTAAACCACATAGGTGTTACATACATAAGAATGTCATCCAGAAATAGTGAATATGTAGATGACTTATAAGACAGGAGTAACACATTGGTTTTAGGTTAAGAGATGTTGTTAAAATTCACAAACTGTTAATTTACGGTTGTAAACAGACCAAGAAGTCTTATATAAAGTGGCAGTTTCCCACGCTATCCAGAAAAGCTGATAATTGCAGTGGTGTTTTTTTTATTTTTCACAAGCTCAAAGAGACCCTGTTGCCAAGCCATTCATTATAACAAAAATCTCCCCAATTGATTATACTGTATGTGCATTTAAACATATTTTATGCATGTAATTTACCTGTAAAATGTCAAAAGGCCCGGGGGGCTGCTGCTTTGTGCCACCGTCTTGGGTTTGGATGTGATGTCAGCAGCCCCAGCAGATTAAGAGTTGTCACTTACAGTAAATGATACTGTAAGTGGTCACTTAAGTGACACTCTTTAGTATCGTCCTTCGCTTCTTCCCTGGCAGCTATATGGGGTTAAGCAGGAAAGGGAGGAGTAAAGGAGCTGGGTCAGCCTACAGTTAGTAAGTAAAAATATTTCCTTTGCTTTGATGATTTGTTTTGGGGGGGGGGGGGGATGACGTCGGTTTTTCAACAATTCATAGTGACCAGCATACAATGAAATGTTATTCTGACCTGTTGCTGTACAATACACTAGTTTACTTTAAGATTAGACTTTAGTAAAGTTCAGAAAAACATCCATCTTGTAGCTTAAAACTAAACTCCAGCCATGCAGTTAAATATACAGATGAAATAAATAATATAAATAAATAATATATATATAATATAATTATATTATATAAATATATATAATATATATATTATATATACAGGGGTCTCAAAACTTTCTGAAACAAAGGGCCAGTTTACTGTCCTTCAGAATTCGGGAGCAAAGGGGGCTGGACTGTGGCCAGTAGGAGTAGAAAAAGTCCTGATGTTAATGGGAAAAAATATACCTTTGTTGGTGTCAGTGAGAGGAATTGTGTTCCTTCACTGGTGTCAATGGGAGGAATTGTGTCCCGTTGTTGGTGTCAGTGGGCCCCATTGTTGGGTTTAGTGGGAGGAATTATGTCCCATAATTGGTGTCATTGGGAAGAAATGTGCCTGTAATTATGTCAATTGGGGGTAATTATGCCCCATTGTTTTTTATCAGTGGAAGAAATAGTGCCCCAAGGGCCAGATAAAAGCAAGCAAAGGGCCACAGTTCAAAGATCACCAATATATAACAGTATGTGAACTGCTTTACATGCAAGAGAATTACTGATTGTGTTATGTTGTTCTTGTGATCCAGCCACTTCTGTCATACAGCATAACCAATAGTAGCAACACAGCTAGATCAAAAGTGTGGGTCAAAACAGATAGCCTGTACAAATGCTGGTAGTTCAGTCTAATTGGTTGTTATTTGTCAAGGTTTGCTAACAAACCCCCAACTTAATTGGTAAATTAAAAAAAAGGGGCACACTGAGGAGGTAATCCCTCTGCTCATCACCTGCTGTGTGCAATGGTTTTGCAAAGAGCAGTCCTGATCCTCCACATCTCTGGTCCCATGCTGGTGCTCCTAACTCCCCCCCCTGGGTTGAGTGCCCCCATAGCAAGCTGCTTGCTATAGGGACACTCGTGCGTGCTCGCTCCATATCCAGAGTGCGGCTTGGGCCCTTTGCCCTGCTCACTTACTGACTGTGATTGACAGTAGCAGTAGCTACTGGCTACCACTGGTTCCTCTCTCCAATGAGGAGACAGATATTTTGGAGAGCAATAGCTCTCGCACACATCGCTGGGTTGAGATCATACTCAGGTAAATATTGGGTGGCTGGGAGGAGCTGCTTGCAGAAGGTTTTTTACCTCAATGCAAAGAAAGCATTAAGGTAAAAAAAAAAATCTTTTTACCGTTAGAACCACTTTAATCTTTTTTGTGTAGCTCAGTCTGCAGCAGTGTTGTGTCTCTGAGCAGCAGAGGAAATTATACACAGGCACAGCTGAAAGGGAAAGCTGCTATTTCAGAACTGAAAGCAGTCAGTGTTAAGCCTGCCTCTATCCCAGTAGGAATACACCAGAATAATGGACTGCTAGGATTGTGGGAGGTGTAGTTTTGCTACAAACATGGCAGGGTGGTTGTGTTTGAAAGGAGAAAATTGCATATTTTCCCATACTGGGGACAAAGGGGAATGGTAGTTCCCTGCTGGTTTCCTGGGCTGTGACTATATGTATGGGTGTTGTTCTGAGAGGACTGATTGCATTC